AACACAGAGCCCTCCCTTTATTAGCCAATTCATACTGACATACCTACTTGCTAACAAGATAGCAAAGTTTTGAGGGTTTCAAGGGGATCACCATGCAAGAAAAGGAAACCCCAAACTCATTATCAGACCCCATTGCTCCCATACTCAACTGACCCCATCCCTCCTGGTGATCTCTGACTCCAACCTCCATCCAGGCAATTCCTATTCTGATCAGGATATCCCATGCTGGACTCTCTTCCCGGAGACCCTGACCCACCACAAAATACTGGGAAGCCCTTAACACCCAATTTATCACCGCAGAGAGACAACCTCTGGCTGCCTCTTCAAAGTCCTACTTTGGCAGTAGAGAGTAGTTATCCTTTGATTGGGATTTAAGGAAACAATACAGCTAACAGGCAACCAGAGCCTTTTCTGGTGAACAGGATGAGTTACCAGGCAGGGAAACAAGATTTGAGGTAAAATAATGGGTTGAACCAGTGATTTCAAGAAGTCTACAAAGTAGCTCTGTCTAAAGCATTTGAAATGTTTTAAGTAAAAACAAAGTGGCAATGTCAAAAACAGAAAGAAATTAAAGCATCCTTAAAAGATGTCTGAATCGTCAAAAATCACTATTTTGAAGGAAACTAAACCCATATGGCTACAAAATTTTTTAAAATCTTAGTTTCTCAAAAATGATAGGACACCATTTTTATAAACCTAAACTCTATGTAATCTTAAAACATGCGTTAGCTTGGCCATGTGCAGAGGGCACACACTGATTTGCAACAGAATCAAGAACTATCTAGAGTCAGGCTCTGTTTAAAGCATTGGCTCTCAATCCTAGCAGCAGCTGAGCATCACCTGGGGCACCCAGGCCCCACTCCAGAATAAAATCAGAGTTTCTGGAGGTGAAGTGCAGGTAAGGGCATGGTCTTTTAAAACTCCCCAGGTGATCCAGGTGTGCAGCCAGGGTTGAGAACCACCAACCTAAGGAACAAAACAAGGTATCATTTAGGCAGCCGACCAGCACTGAACCACAGATGATTCTAGTAGAGCAAGCCTCTCTCTCAGCAGTCCTTTTGAATTATCTTCCTGGGTCTTAGGGCAAAAGATTACAGTGAGAATTATAGCTCTAAGAGCCATTTCTCTGGAACAGTGTTTCTTGATCTGTGGTTCAAGGTGCATCTGCGCCACCATCTTCTGAGGAATGTGTTAAAATGCCGATTCCCGGGTCCTACCTGAGACCTATACTGATCTCCGCATGTGATTAGCTAACTACAAGTCAGGGACTGTGGCCAGGGTCAGATCCAGGCCTGTCCAACTCCAGGTTCTTTCAAATTCCCCTCAACACCATTGACCAGTAAGAGTGGGATCTCTGTCAGGAAAACCAGAGCTTTAGATGATTTTAAATGAAAGGTAATTACTTAGAGCAATAGAACGGAAAACAACAGCAAAAATTCCCCTTCCACTCCTCCCTCCAAAGGAATCCTCTATCAATTACTTTAGAGTAGCCAAATAATATCCCTCCCTTTCCTTCCTGTTCCACTACATTCTTTCCCTCCTAACAAATATTCCTTTTTCCCCCAAATAAGGTCACTTGGAAAAATCCCTGGTAGGTGTCACCATCTATAGGAAAGTAATAAAATCTCTGTAAAAGTGAACCTACCCCAGATCGTATTTTATATTTACCTACACAGTTCTCATATCCTACCTATGCAGTGAAGTGCATAGTTCCCTCTTAAGTCTGAAGAATAAGGTAAAAAATGTGACTAAATGGTTTTGCCCATTTAGAACTGGCTGGAAACCAACCTTTTTTTTTTTTTTTTTCACCCAGGTTATTTTCAGTCACTGACATACACACTTCTACCTTGGAAAAAAAAAAAAAAAGTTTTGCCCCTGATTTACAAGCTGGATCATTGTGCAAAAACGATGGTGGTGACACGTGAATGCGGTGAGGGTGGGGCAAGGAGTCGTGCGCAAAGAAGCCACACGTAAGATTTAGGCGACCTCTGCCCACTGGTACCAACTCACACACCACACCAAGAACCAGTATGAAAACAAACTTTAAATGCAGCAAGTACCATTTGTAAAATACATTGTGCAGAATTCTTCCTATCTTGTTAGAGTGTCAAGCAGTACAACCCTTGCAGGAAGTGATCTGGTAATGACCCTGAAAAATGGTCATAAGCATCACTCATTTTAATTCAACAATCCAGTTTCTAGGAATCCAGTAGCAAGCAATCCAAAAGAGATCAAACATGTTCACAGCAGTGAACAGTACCGATACTATAAAATATTTTACGAGCACCTCTTATCTGCTGGACTTCACTGAATGCTTAACATAATCCTGAATGATGAGAATTACTTTCTCGCCATTTCTATAAACAAAGAAACTAAATCTCAGAGAAGCTAAGGAACTGGCCTTGTGTCATCCAGCTCTCATGGGTTAGGGCCGGATTCACACCCGGGTTCACATCCTCCTCAAACCCCTTGGTGCTCATGAGCAGTTAAGAATGCAGCAGTCATGAAAATCACAGCACATTCCATGGATTATGTAGCCATTCAAGTATTTACAAGGAAAATACTATGTCCAATGAAAATACAAAACTGTACATATGTAGGACCTAAACAGTATACCAAAAATCTCACACACAAAAAATGAACTAAAATGTTAGTGATTTCCTCCGAGAGTGGGAACAGAATGTCAAAAGGATAGAGGGGAGGTGGGTGGATAGTGTTCTAACCTGAAATTTCCATTTCTGTTTATAATAGGAAAATATGTGCTAATGAGGTAAGCGAGGTTTTGGCACTCTTGTAACTAATGCCACTGGTTAAGAGTCCTTGAGACTCAGTTCTCTTTAACACAGTGGATCCATAAAGAGTCAGAGAAGCTTGCTTAAGTTATTAATATTTGAAATAGAAAAAAAAAAGCCCCAAACACAAAACCAGTCACTATGAAAGTATAACTCTACCAATCAAAGCCTGAAGCTAGATTCGAAGAGAACAGAATGAAAGACCAGATAATGAGGGGGAATGTGGCAAGACTCCTAAGCCCCCAGGCCGTCTAGGATATGTTGAAGGTGGGGCGAGTCTTTGTATTTTTGTGTAGCGGGGAGACTGACCGAGAATTACAGGCACAAGGTATGTGAGTACACTTACAAGCTCTTACACTGTGGAGTAAAGGCTGAAGCTGTAAGTCAGAGAGACTAACAGGTGATGGCTAATATTTAACATTTCCTGGGCTTTTGTGTACCCCTAGTGTTCTGTATTAGCTGGGATAGAGACCTAACCATATGGTGGCTTGGAGATGATAGTTACTCTAACAGGCAGGTCAGCCAAAGAGGATGGCAGCTCCCCTATAAGGTCCTCTAGGTTCCTTGTCCCTCTGTCATTCCCTAAGTAGGACACTTTTCTAATGTGGACACTGGCTCACTAATACCATCTCCGAGTTGCACCTTGAGAGAGGAGAGAAAGGGCAGGTAGAGGACGTGACCAAGAAGTTATACGCATCAATTCCACTTGAACCCCTTGACCAGAGCCTGGGAAAGGCAGTCTCTAGCTAGGCAATCTGGTACCGACAAAAACTCAGGAGGTTCTGTTTCTAAAAGGAAGAAGGGAGGCAATTAGCATCCCTCATGGCTCAGTGACCACCTCTTTAAGCAGACTTTTAACAGTTCTTTATTTTGTTAGCATGAATCCAGAGGCCTGAAGGAATGGGTATCTGGAAGTAGGGACTAAGAGTAAAGGGAACGGTTACTGGTGATATGAGTAGATAGAAAGGGCCAGCCAGGTCTCCTGGCAATCCCTCTGCTGGTCTGGTCCCACACAGCTTGCCCTTTTAGAAATTCCGTTGCCCAGGTCACTGCAGGTGGACAGTAATTTGCATTGGAAAAGCCAAATACCCACTTCCAGTCTCCATTCCTCCCTGACCTACCCATTTGGACCTGAGGATCATCTTACAATGGGAGACAAAGAGTAAAAGCAGAGACTGGGGAACCCAAATTCTAGCTCACTTCTCCAAACCAGGCCACGTGGGCATGCGTTCCTCCAAACTGTGCTTCTGCATCTATAAAAGGACCTCCCCCAGCTCCAGTATTTAAATGGTCCAGATTTCAGTCTTTTCCTTGCTGTTATATCAGTTAAAACAACCCCTTTCTAAAGCAGTGATTAATATGCGTGGACACTGGAGAGCTGTCAGCGCATAGCTCTGAGATCAGCTGGGGCGGTTCAAGGACATCTCCAAAGAACATGGTCTAAATGTGAGACAATGGTATTCTCCTCATCATTACGCACAAACTATGACTCAAAATACTAGGCAATGGTTTTCCCACTGTTAATGTCTACACTAGTTTCACGCAAGATTTTGTTTGAAGAAAATATTTCAGTGCTAAAAGGTTTGAAAACCATCATACAAGAATTTATAATAGCCTATGTTCTTAAAGAATCCTAGCACAGGAATAATACTTTATTAACTAAGAGTCAAAAGGCACAAAATAACAATTCAATTTTATCTGTTTAAATTTTCTCTTTTCCTTCTGGTATCTTAGGCAAAAGGGATTGAGGAAACATATTCCAAAGAACTGTGTGTAATTTTAAAACACAGAAAAACAGAATAGTTTTATCTTTATAAGTAACTATCCTCTGGAAAGAAAGGTTCTTAGAAGGTAAACCTTCCAAGATACATCTTCACCATCACCATCACACACCAGTCTTCAATCCTTAGACACAGAACCCTTTCTACCTCTCTAAAAAACTCCAGGCCCCCTAAAACTAACCAAGCTGTTCTTCTGCCTTGGGATCATCCAATTTTCTTTCCTGTCACGAGTCTCCTTCAGGCATAACATCTGAAGAACATCTCCATTTAGGATCACTTTCTATGATAAATTCTATTCAAGATATTCACTGGTGGTTCCACACAGGTCCTCTGCCAAATTCACATACCCATAAACTTTACGTCAACCCATAGTTTTCTTGAAAAAGAAAACTATCAAATAACTTTAAAAATAAGACACAAACCTTCATAAAAATATAGTCATCAAATTTATTATTCTCATTAGGTTGCCATTTTATGAAGAATTCCTAAGATTAATGTTTCTTGACATGCAAGAGTTAGCATTAATAGCTTATGTTACTATAAATACTGCTGCTTGGAAGCAATACAACTGTTTTAGAGTTTTAAGACTACAGACTTTTATTACTCAAATCTTATTCGGTGTACGTTAAAATCAGAAGGTTCTGAACAGCTGGTTAGGAAGGTAGCCAAGATGCAGGAAAGATGTCTGCGCCTCCTTTTCAAGGGCAGCCAACTCTTGAACCGTAGGTGCCAAAATATCCACATGGCCTTTATAGTTTCCACCTGCATCACACACACAAATTATAAAGTAATGTAAATGACATGCTTGAAATAACTTGTCAGCAATACTCTGGCTCAATTACATCCGTTTATACATTGCTTCTAGCAATAAAAATGTACCACCGGGCAAGTCATCTCCACAAGTGAGTTTTAAAGACATTTAGTTAAATGCATATAAATGAATGATCAGACCTCACTAATAGTGTCCCAAGGCCCCTAGCAACCCCTCCCCCTCTCCTTTTTTTTTTTTTGGTTTGGAAACCACTAGGCTCAGTAGCCTGAATCTTAAAAAAAAATTTTTCAGAAATGAGCTAAGGGCATTCCAGGCAAAGGAAAGAGTATGCTGGGTTACCACTTGAAATTAAATCAAAGGTTTTCAATTCTTTGTTCAAAACTGCCATTATATTCGCTTCCTAATAATTCCATAAATGTTCAACTACTCTTTGTGACATTAACACCTCAAGAGAAACAGCTAAGCCGCTGTCCTTCATTCGCATACAAATCACACAACCAAAAAAATGCTACAAGACAGGTATGGATACCGTGCTATGAGTTAATAAGGAGGAAATGATTAATAAAGTAAAAATAGACACTTACCATGATGGGATGAAATTACTCTCTTCTACACACTAAAGCCCAAGAAGGACACATTCACATTTAGAATAGAAATTAAAGTAATTCAAAACTCACCACCAGCGGCCCTTTTCTGACCATAGGTGACTTTCCCATCAAACTCATCCAATGGTACCTTTATATCTGGTTCAACCTGAGAAATGGTGCAATTCAGATGCTCTTCTATCTCAGAGAGCAACTAAGAGAGGAAAGGAAATATAAAAAGCATTTTCAAATAAAAATTTCATTTTGACAGAGTTGCATTTTAACAGTGTCCAATAAAACCAGGAGGACTATAATACTTAGGATAAATGGAAGTTAGATTTCTGAAGAGATAAACTCACAAGTTATGATTTACAAACTATAACTAACTTTATAATCAATTACTACTTTTCCCCACAGCTAACAAAGAGATAAAACCTGAGGTATTACTTTTATAATTAAATGTGGTCTATTTTTGCCATTTTAGTGTGTTTTTTAGGAGTCTTACCTGCATCTCATTGTACCATATGGTGCAGCCACCATCTTCCTTGAGTCTTGTGTTATAACATCCTTTTCCACGGCTACTACATACGTGGTACCAAACCTACATGAAAGGTGGAAAAAAGATTAACACGTATGGAGATTGACACATGCTAGATATTTTTATCCTCAATTAGCTTTTTAAATACCCTCTGTCCCCAAGGAACAAGAAAAACAGACTGCAGTATGGTATGTCATCCAATTACTACCACCATTCAGGAGCTCATTAACTAGGTCTTCTGAAAAAGTTCTTTTTGAGAATAATCCCGAAGTCTTCCTAAAATCCCTGTCAATTACAGAAACGAATTCTCAGATAAAAACAAGGATGAAAAAGTAAATACTGGAGAATGGTATATCAAGATTATATCAAAAAATAAGGTCCAAGTGCTTTCTGTGATAAAGCAAATAGCAAAAAGCAAAATGAATAACTAGTTTGGACAACGAGTTTATGGGAATTCCTTATTCTTCAAACTATTCTGTAAAATTATATCAAATTATATTGCAAAATAATAAGTTACCACCCTCTCTCACAAAAGTTTTCTGTGACACGACGTCAGGGAGGGCTTAAATAGTTTTTGGTGAAATCAAGTACATTAAAGCTATTAGTGAAAATTACATTTTGCATTTCTCCTTTCTAAATTTCATCCTACTGCAGGTCCATTCAAGAATATGGAAAAAAAGCTGCCATTAAAAAGTTCACTTAGGGTGCCTGGGTGGCTCAGTTGGTTAAGCGACTGCCTTCGGCTCAGGTCATGATCCTGGAGTCCCGGGATCGAGTCCCGCATCGGGCTCCCT